TTACTGGAATTTATAATAGAATAAAATTTCTTATGGTAATATCGTTAACTTATTCTTATTAAATTAAAAACCTGTTAAATTTTAAATTCAGTGAATGGGTTTGTTTTCTGCATCTTTCTATTGACTACTAATACCGACTTCTAATTTATGATTAAATTATAAAACTGATGACTAATTTTTAAATTTGTTCATGCACCTTTGAATTCATAATTTGAATTAAATTGTTTAATTTTTGTCACCTTAATTTTTGTGAATTGGCCTAAGTTTACGTTCTCTTTAGAAATAATGATAACTCAAACTTAAATCCAGCAAAAAAGAATTCTTATAAAGAGAGATCAATAGTGGGTCAAGAAGGAAACCTCATCACTCTTATTTGTAAGTTACTGTATTTTATATTTTTAGAAAAAGAGAGGTAATGCTGGATTGGTTTTTGATATTCTTATGGGGTTTTCAAGTGTTAGTGACGTTTCCACAATATTTACAGAAAGTGTACGCCGCGCGTGGATTGCCGCTCCACGCGCCGTGTAACATGGTGTATATTGTCTGCCTATCTGTTTCTGGGCTAATCTTCGAAACAGCTGAACCGATTTTGCAGGGGCTTTCACAGGGGCGAAAAAGGAGGCTACTTGTGTTGTTATTTATCTGTCAGTCCGTATTTTTTTACTAATAGTTTATTATAAAAGAAACTGCCCCAACAATTTATTATCTACTTGCGTTTTCAAACTTCTCTCACTGTATTTAACTTCTAGAAATGCCATGATTAAAATAGGAGATACATTTACGTATGTGTGTATAAATAATAAATACAACCTTGTTTAATTTTGTGAATGCGAAATAATCTGCAAAAGATTCCCCAAATTTTTGCGGATTTTCCACGTTAGAAAAATTTTAAATGATTGGTACTTAAAATATTTCATATTAGCATTAATTGGCACTTAGTATGGAAAGATACGTCCGAGTGCAAGCAGTGAATCAGTTGTTTTACGTAATATTCAAATGTCATAGGGTTACGGAATATCTAATCGACGTTAAAATATAGAATGTGAGACATTTTTATAGTTACCCCAGTCCCAGTCCATCGTTAGACTCAGATTACTTTCATAGAGATACAATTTTGTACGTGTAAGGACACGTTTTAATTAAAATAGAACGGATATTTCTCATGTAATTTTATTTAATTTAATCTTGTTAATGGGCATTTGGGCTTCCGATAATTTATGTCCAGAAATCTGTTTGAACATTCATTACCACGTTGTTAATAAGAAGAAGATTCAGTATCCGGATATCCTGGGGCAACTATTAAAGCATATTACCCGTGTATTGATCCAGTAAGGGATTGATCAGCAGCATCCTTTTATGGCATGCTTTATTCAGACGAATTTTACCCTGATTCCTTTACGCATGCCTTATTAAGACTGAGGCAGGAATGATGTGGATACCCTGTTTCAACCCTTTAACTCTGTATCCTGTTTAGCCTGATCTGGCTCGAATGGTGATACCCTTTCTAAACCCTTTTACGTCATGCCCTATTCAAACTAATTTGACCTTGATGTCGATAACCTACTTGAACCCTGAAGAATGATTCCAAATCAGATTACACGATCAAGATTAAATGATATAACGTAATCAGGGACACAGGGTAGCCATATCTGGACCAAGTCTGCTTAATGAATAAAACCAAATGTTGTAAAGCGTTACATTCCTGATCGGGGCTTTTTTTTAAGTCAGGCATGCTGGATAGGATCTGGTCCGCAGCCCTAACAAATTTCCAGTCGCTAAGAAGAGTAATCTACCCCAGCGGTTCCTAACTTCTTTTGGCTGTATAATTTTAAATGATCTACTTTTTCTTGGCGGAACCCCATCTGGACAATCGAAAAGTAAATTGACAATAATTTCTTTTTAAGATCCCTGACATCACATTACTTCCAGTTTCGAAGCTCTTGGGAAGCTTGTGTTCAGGGTACCGCGGTAAACTATTTATGAACCACTGATCTAAGTAATGTTAAGGAGTTGATGGGGAGTGATGCCAGGCTTGAGTGGTCAACCCTAAAAGAACCCTTACGAACCACTGAGCTAACCAACGTTAGGGGGGTGATGGAACGTGTCACTCTTAAGTGGCGGACCTAAAAAAATAAAATTTTAAAAAGCTCCTGGGAATCTTGCACTAAACTCCAGACTTGTGCGGAGTGCTATTTAGGAACCACTGACCTAACTGACGTTAGGGAGGTGATGGGGCGAGATGTCAATCTTAAATCGTCGACCTAAAAAGAATGAAATTCTAAAAATCTGGTTTGTATAATGTTTTGACAATTAATCTTTTAACTAGAAATTTATAGTATTTCTCATCTTTATTTAAACATAAATTTATTAAAAACTTTTGGCTGAAGATTCTATTCGTTTCTGCAATAATCTTATAATCAGCTAATCCATTCCCAACGGCAAATTTGCATTAGAGAAATTCTTCTTTTTTGCCCCTTTCTATTTCCTCCAAAACCTGTTGGAGTTATCTATCAGCTTGCTGCATTGCAGAAAGTAGAGTGAAATGAATAAAATACTGGCGACGTTTTAATTTTACTTTAAAATGATACATACTTAATATTGCTCCCCTGTAAGTCGTCATCCGAACTTATTTCTGGGAAAAGCTTTTATAATAACAAGATCATTATTGAAGAAGGAAACCCTAAGGTGATCACTTTTTATTTGTAATTTATTAGAGTTCTTGTCCTGTATAACTTAAAACTTATTCTTGTAATATGCCCTTTACCGGTCATCCCTATAAATTTAACTAAAAATAGAAAACCGGCACCTAACAGGACGTTTAGTTATTCGTTTTGAATTATTTACCGCTTTAACTTGTTCCAAGGTTAACGCTTTTTATTTTAAAAAAGTCACATGCCGTAACTAACACTCTTGAGTAATTTAATAAAATTCCTTAGCAGATATTTCACAAATGTCATGGTAATTACCCTGTTTACGGATTAGCCATCCGTAAACATGGTAATTACCCTGTTTACGGATTAGCCATCATTTCATACGTTGAACTGTTCGTTTATTGTATAATAATTAATATCCTTTCGTTTTATATTTGCTATATCGGTATTACCTATTTTGCATATTTAGGAATACGTATGACTGAGATGTATTGCTTGTAATACAAAACACAACCAAGTGCTAAATACTGCAATTGCACTTTAAATTTTTTATAAAACATTTGTGTCATATACACTGCACATAAATATTGATGTATTTGTATGTGGTGTGTGTGTAATGCCCCCCTCTAATTTGTAGGTAATTTTAGTTTGTTCGGAAGATATTCATTCATTGAATTATTATTCTCTTGTCTAATACAACGCGATATTGACTTCACGAACAATTATTATGATTCATTTCTGATTCTGTCGCTATTATGCAATGCTAATATTCTTTCGAATCATGGATCATGCTCGTAAATAATGACGCTATATGGAAGAGATACTATTTGAATGTTTAATTTTCTTATGCGTACATGAACGAAAATAAAAACGAAACAAAAATGGACCGTTCTATATTATTATTATGCATTATAAGTAGGTATATGCAAAAATGTAGTTTGTGTGTATCAATTTTCATTAGAGACGATCGAATGGGCTAGCCACTCCTTGATATGGCATTTTGCAAGACAAGATGCAAACGTGTTGTGTCTTTATTTATTGCCTAGTAGTAGGCAGATGTCTTACCGTTCTGAACCATTCGTTTTATTAATGTTTTTTGGAAATCGCGAACCATTATACCGGCTAAAGACAAGGTTAATCATTTAGTACCAGTTTTTTTATTTGCTCATCAAAATGTTAGACTAGAGTAGAGTCCATACTATATTCGTCCTTGCAAAAAGGATGTTCCAGTGGTGGGGACAAGATATAAATACATCTGATATACTAAAACCATCGGTTCTAATTCCTCCACCGTTAAACCACAATGAAGAGTTTCGTGGTAAGTTTTTGTGTTGTTGTACAATAATTTTGAACAAAACAATATTTTAGTTTTCCGTAACATTACGTGATAGAATTTGTCGTTGATTTCAGTTTGTGACTGTCTTTGCTGTTGTCGCGTGGGCTCGTCCCGACGTGTCCCATCTACAAAATGCCTACGTACCACCAGTAACTAGTTACGGAGTACCGTCATCCTCTGTTCCCAGCGGTAGCTACCTTCCTTCAGTACCATCGTCTTCATCATTAAATGTATTTCGAGCACCTTTCGGTAGTTCTCAACAAAGTGTGAGCATTGTACCCAATTATCAACCCAGTTATCAATCCAGTTATCAATCCAATTATTACCCATCCCTTCAAACACAACAGCAAAACATCGACGTTCAACTCCAGCCTTCAGCTGTCGAACATAGAAAGTCATTCTACTTCTACTCCGCTCCTGAAGAACCTGAAACACGTACTCGCATTACCATTCCCATTCCTCCACCCCAGAAAAGGACCAACTATATTTTTGTCAAAGCACCTGTTAGCCGACCTCAACCAGTTCCAGTTATCGTTCCCCAAGGAGGTGTCGACCAAAAAACCGTAGTGTACGTTCTAGTACGCAAGAACAACCAACAAGTGAAACCTGTAGTACTCGATGGTCCGGCACCATCTCCACCCCAGAAACCCGAAGTCGTTTTCGTCAACTACGACTCTGCACAACAGGTGCACAACCTCATCCACGGAACTGCCCACGGAGAACAGCATCCAACTTCTTCAGACGTTGACACCCCTACGTTTGTTGGACATGTTCAACAAGATATCGCAAAAAGTGTTTCTGGCGGATCTTCTCAATTCGATATCAATTTCCAACCTCAACCAGCTTCACAAGCCGTTGAAAAAGTTGAAGGTATCTCGGGCAGTGAATCATTTGGAATAGGGGGTGGTGTTCAAGCTAACTATGTCGGGGTAGGATCTTTGGGCTCTCATTCAGTTGAAGTCAGCACTGCAGGTCCACAAGTTAGTCAGGTTTTCTCTGGATACAGTTCGACAGTTGTTCCCAGTGTGAGACCCACCGAAACTGTTCATATAGGTGGTGGTGATTCTTCGCAATCGATTTCATTCGGACCCGCTGGCCAGAGTGGACCGTACTAAAGAACTGTTTTAAGTACAATTAAAAAAAAAAGATCATACTGCCTTTTTTTTATATCATGTGGCGTTTAAGAAATTGTCTCAGTAAATAAATTAATATAAACATTTCTAAAGCCAATTTTTATTTGTTATCCTTTTTTCATCCTATATGCACACGGAAAAAGGTAAAATTAAATATAAAGGAAGTAACATGCAACATAACATATATACAACCGAATGTTCTTCTTTTTATTTTTGTATTAAAACCTTGTACAATAACTACATTTATTATCTGTTCTAATTGACATTTGTGAATTAGAGAAGATCTGCTCGTATCTAAATATTTTAGATAATGAAAACATCAGAAAATTTTATTTGTGACGCGGGTTTTAGTTACGAATACATGAGCTGTAAGCACGTAATACGTCTGGCATTTTTTTTAATGAACGCTATATAGTACCTCAGGTTAATGAGGAAAAATTTATTACTGTTGTCACACCATCGCCGGGAATCGAACCCGGGATCTTTGGCTTTACGCACCAGGTAGCTTAGTGGATACAGCACTGGTTCGATTCCCGGCAAGGGTGTGACAGTAGCAACAAATTTTCCCTTATTAACCTGAGAAAAATTAAATATGAATTTTCACATTAATATTTGATATTAACCACTATTAAATGTCAAAGCGTTTCTTATCGGAAATTCCTAATACTGACCTATTAGTTGTTTAGTTGTTTTTAAATTCTATTTGGTAATTCGTTATACATTCTTGTTCATTAATCCCCTTTTAATCTAAATTTACATATTTTATACGTATTGATTGTAGCTTATAATTTTCCAACAAATTTTTATTAGAATATTAGCTTATTTGTGAAAGTTTTACGAGATACCTATAGCTTAATTGGGTATATGGGATATAATAGGGTAGGCTCTGTTAGAGTTTCTTCATAATTCGAGTCCATTCCTGAACAAATCTAAATAGAAGTGCTTCAAAACAATTAACGGTACCTCCCATTAAAAAAACAAGTAAGAAATTTTTTTTAAATCTCATAAATGTTGTAGTAACTGGTAGAGTATGTGCTTATTATATTCACACAAACATCGAGTGGTCGTCTTTGACCTTTATTTAAAAAAAAGTGAACTATAATAAAATATCTGAATTTTGCCAAATAAGGTTCGGAATAGGTAATGGTTTTAAATAAGCTGTCCAATAAAAATGCACTGCCTACTACCTTGGCAATAAAAGTTTTCGTCAATTTTTAACTGTACATTTACATATATAAACATATTATACTCGTACATATGTGTGCAATATAAATAAAATAATAAGCATCCAAAGATGTTCACCTGAGCTCTGTTACATCACGATTATGAAGTACTAAAAAAGGTAAATAACCGTAGAAATTCCTAAGGTCAAGGTTAAAAGGAGTCGGCTATAAGTGCGTGTACCTAGTAAACTTTCTTTGTTATACATAACCACAACAAATATTTTGTGATATTTACTTTTTTCTTAAGAAATGAAATAAAATCGTATCTTATATTCATCCTTTCTATGGATTATTCAAAGTATGTTTTCAGTTTCAGCCCCAAAATCAGTCCCCAAAATTTATAATTACAAAATTGTATTAAAAAATAATATTTTTTTTTGGTTATGTGACTACAAATTAACGGTTTTGGCTACTTGCCAAATTTCATGATTCTAAGCCTTAACAGACAGACAGACAGACGGCCAACAAAGTGATCCTGTAAGGGTTCATTTTTTCCTTTTGAAGTACGGAATCCAAAAAATTGTAGAATTATCTTTCGTGCTAAAGGACCATGGTTCAAATGAACTGAGACTTCTTTATGAACGCATTACCACTGAAGACGTTAGCCGCAGTTGTCGACGAAACGTATGGACCTTACAATTCATTTAGACCACGGTCTCTCAGCTCGAACCATAACTCGTCAAGCTAACAGTTTTATAAAAATTTTTCCGTAAAAAAATCATTACAATATTGTTAATAAATTATAGGCTGTTTGTTTTTGCTATTTTACTGGAATTTATAATAGAATAAAATTTCTCATGGTAATATCGTTAACTTATTCTTATTAAATTAAAAACCTGTTAAATTTTAAATTCAGTGAATGGGTTTGTTTTCTGCATCTTTCTATTGACTACTAATACCGACTTCTAATTTATGATTAAATTATAAAACTGATGACCAGTTTTTAAATTTGTTCATGCACCTTTGAATTCATAATTTGAATTAAATTGTTTAATTTTTGTCACCTTAATTTTTGTGAATTGGCCTAAGTTTACGTTCTCTTTACAAATAATAATAACTCACACGTAAAATCCTGCAAAAAAGATTTCTTATAAGGAGATTTCAATAGTCGGTCAAGAAGGAAACCTCATCACTCTTATTTGTAAGTTACTGTATTTATTTTTTTTTTACGAAAAAATAACTACTGCTGGATTGTTTTTTGATATTCTTATGGTTTTTCAAGTGTTACGTAATCAAGTAGTTAGAGGCGGCTATCAGATCACAATGATAATAATTGATATGCATATTATGGCAATTATTTAAGGAACATTTAAGACGTAACAATATTATATCTTCCGGGAATGGGATACATTTTTTACTGTATCTGAGGTCAGGGGAACGAGGTCTAAAGTTATTTAAAATGTGTGGACTTAAATAACCGTTCGGACATTACAAAAAAAAACAACTTATTTGTGTGGAATATGAAGATCAGTGGTCAGAAAGGGCACATTGTCCGTTTGTGCCTATCGAGAAAACCTAATTAACCCCCTACACAAAAGGGGGTGTTATAAATTTAACGTGTGTATCTGTGTTTCTATCTGTGGTATTGTAGCTCCTGAACAGTGACTATGATTCACATTGGGATTTTTTTAAATTTTTAATTTTATTTTATTTTTATAGCTACACTTTATACCTACAATACATACATATATTTGTTTGAGATGATTGAAACATTTTAACTTATGCAAATTATAGATAGAGTAGGCTTCTGGTAGTAGAGTAGTAGTAAATGGCATGGCACATGTATGGTCTAACACCTTTTTTTATAGCAGAACGGTAATTTTCCAAGGACGTAGTATGATTATCTAAAAATACTTGTTTAACTGTTCGCGTTGATGCGATGATCTTGAAATAACCGTTTGACAAATGATTGCCGTGGAGAAATGTAGGAATTGCTTAAAAAAGTTATAATTTATGTATTTTATTTATCTGTCATATCATCACGTACGCAAATAATTTTTATTAGCCTTAAAGGTGACTGACGGTCTTTTAAATTTAAATAAATAAAATTGGAAATACCTAAACACATCCGTAAGAAAAACAATTTATATTTACAGTGTAACTTTATTTATTGCCTTTTGTACTTTCTTGCGTGTCCGCATGAAATCTAAATCAGTAAGCCACGGGATTCCCATGTTGGAAATCACGACAGAGCTAAACTTGGCCCAAGATTGTTTAATTTTGGTTCAAGATTGGCAACAAATATTAAAACTAAAAAAAAACTTTAGGGTGTTTCATTCCCACCAGCCACTAATGTTGGTGGGAGGCCAGTCACTCCGGACTACGCCGGAAGGTAGGGCAGAAGGCCCTCTTCAGCCTCCTTTCAGGAATTGTAGGAATGGGTGGGTGGTGGTTCGGGTGAGAAAGATGAGACGGACGAAATGAAGACAGAAGATAATGAAAGTAGTGTCCGACCGAAAGTTCGATTTCGGTTTCGGTTTCGGTCGAGTTTCGGCAAAAAAACGAGTTTCGGTTTAGTTTCGGTTTCGGCGGCAAACCTGCCGAAACTACGACCGAAACCGAAACTGCGTTCGGGAGTTCTCGCGCTCTGCTCGGTCATGTTCGGCGCGTTAAATTCTTATATAAAGAAAAGCATGAATAATCTTCAAAAGAAAAATGAGTCTAGTCTACTTACTCAAATAAACATCTCACCTATTTTAAGTATTTTTAAGGCGCAATTAAAGTGTTTCCTTAAATGAGGGGTTGTTATGTTGATTTTGATTTGATTATCAATAAGTGAAAATGTCAAAGACTGCAGAGCTATGTGATTTAAAGATAAAAAAATAAAACTGACTGATTATAATAACGTTTTCTTTATTTTTCTCTAAAAACATGATCCTTATAAGGAAGTTCCGGTTTCGGTTTCGGCCGAAATTGAGACCGTTGCCGAAATTCGGTTTCGTTTCGGTTTCGGTCGTAAAAACCAGTTTCGGTCGGACACTAAATGAAAGATTATCTGTGACATTTTGGAATTAACTAATAATTAAAACGTCTAGTAGAAGAATGACTCTAACTAAACCGGCTATTATTTAACTTGTGATATTTAGGAGTTTCTCGTTTAATTGGAAGTCATAAAAATATAAAATTTTCTGTTGATCAGGTACAAAACCGGTCAGTGTAGGAAAGCGATCTGTTCAATAAATTGTTGTTCTAAAAAACCATTTTACTACCACTGAATCGTCTTACAATTATAATAAATAGTAGTAGGGACCATAAGTTACTTGGCGCAATTGGGGAGAATAGGGGTTCAGCAATGCGTTACGGTCCTGTTATGAAGCGAGATTGGAGTTAAGGATTGCGTTGTGTGATTATTTGTAAAACCGGAAAGTTGACAAATGTACTAATCCAATAGATAGGTGCACAAATGGGAAGTATGTTAATTAGAAATTGTAATTGTTGATTAAAAAGTTAATTATTATTATTGGAGCACGGAGAAAACTAAGTTTTTATGACAACACAAAAATTACAATTTTCGATTGTAAATGATCGAATTTGGCGTAAAAATAGTAGAATTTATTAGGTAACTTGTAATAATCTCAATTTTGACATGCTTTTTTAAAAATTATTTCAAATTTCTTAATTATTACAATTTAATTTGTAATATCAATATTTAGGTAAATTTTCGTTTTTCATCCTTGCATCCATCATTCTTTCATCAATGCTGCAAACAAAGAAGTAAATTTAAAATTAAATGATATGATTGGTGAAGGTGTTGTTGCCGGAAATGTAATTATGTGCATAGGAATATGTATTCATTTTTGTATTTTTTTACAATTCCTACCGCATAATATGTTCCGGCGACACACCGTGTGTGTAGCGGACCAGT